CTGTCTTGCCATACACACACACACACACACACACACACACACACACACACACACACACACACACACACACAAAACCTCCCTGTGTGTATTGTAAAAGAGTATAAACTCTACAGTATCCACACATGTCAACATAGCCTTAAGAAACTAAGCACATAACTGAAACTCCAAAACACAAAAATGTATAAACTGAATTGTCATGGAGATTTTTAGTTTCCAACATTTCTTCTGCTACTTCACATTTTGGGGGTTTTGTTTGTTTGTTTTCCCAACTTAGGGTTTCTCTGTATAGCCCTGGGTGTCCTGGAACTCACTCTGTATACCATGCTAGCCTTGGACCCAGAGATCTGCTTCTCCCCCACAAGTGATGTGATTAAAGGTGAGGGGCACTACCACCTAGCACTACTTTTCCTTTTTTTTTTTTTTTTTTTTTTTTTTTTTTTCAAGACATGGTTTCTCTGTGTAATCCTGGCTGTCCTGGAACTCTTTGTAATCCAGGCTGGCCTTGAACTCATAGAGATCTATCTGCCTGCCTCTGCTTCCCAAATGGTGGGGTTAATTTAAAGGCTAGTGCTACCCAACTACTACTTCACCTTTTTAAATCAACTGTTTTCTAACTTTTTCCCCAGAGTTTGACTGAAGAATAGACCAGTGAGCCTAACAAAATAGCAATGTAACAGAGAATTACTACATGGTATTTAAACTGGTAAAAATTATCTTCAAAGTATGAATGACTATCCTTTCTATTTATCAAATCTACACCTTAATAGTAATCCAAAACTTCTAAGCATCAATACACCTTAATAAACCTTCTCAGAATAGCCTTTATTATCACTGCCAAGCACAAGGAATAACCATCAAATGCACTGTGAAGTCTCAAAAGGGAAATTCTCCCAACACCTACGGGTACCCAGGTGTGATGGGTAATCACTTTCACAGTCAGAATTTCCTCTGTTATAAAATTTAAATAGTGCAACTTTAGGCCTCTTTTTCTATGATTCCCACTATGAATAAGATTTAACTATCATTACTTTTTACTAAAGAAACATGAACTTAGGGCTGGAGAGATGACTTAACAGTTAAGTATGTTTACTGCGCTTGCAGAGGACTTGGGTTCAATTTCCAGCACTCAAATGGTAGTTTGCAGCTACACTGGTAACTCCAGTTCTAGGGGATCTGATACTCTCTTCTAGCCCCTGCAGGCTCCTGAATACACATGGTGCACACTGGTACATATAAAATAATAAACAAATAAATGAATCCTTAAGAAACAAGAAGGTAGGCTGAAGAGATGGATCATCAGTTAAGAGAACTGGCTGCTCTTCCAGAGTACCTGGGTTCAACTGTCAGCTTCACATGGCAGCTCACAACTGTCTATAACTCTAGTTCCAGGGCATCCAACACCCTCACCCAGACATACATGTAGACAAAACACCAATGCACATAAAACAATTTTTTTTAAACAAACAAAAGGGCATCTATATTTTCTCTCTAAGTTAAGAAACTTTAAAGTCTTTATCCTTTCTTCACAATCATGTCTGTTAGCTTATTTGTTGTGGAGCAATCTTTGTACACTGTAAATATGTATTACTCTCACTGGTTAATAAAGAACTGACTGGCCTACAGCTGTGCAGGAAGAGATTGGGTGGGAGAGCAGGAGCACTGGTCTAGGAGGATGCAGGGAAAGAAGGGCAGAGTATGATGAGTCTCAAGGAGATGCCATGAGCTGCAGAAAGAACAGGATGGGAAATAATAAGGTAAACGAGACTCAGGGCAGCACATAGATTAACAGAAATGGGTTAATTTAAGTTATAAGAGCTAATTAAAAACAAATCTATCAGCCAAGTATTTATAATCAATATTAAGTCTCTGTGTGGTTATTTGGGAACTGGCTATCGGGACAGAAAGATTCATTTTCAATATCCTGAAGTCTTACAAATAATCTCAACTTTCAACATCCTAAGACTTTTTGAGAAATTAAACAACTATATGTTGCTTATACCTCTAGCACTTAAACCTGTGATTCCTTCCCTCGTCTTTTCTTTTGTTATGTTTATAATCAAGATTTTATTATGGTTTGAGTTTGAAATGTGTCCACAGGCTCAGGTGTTGCCTTATTGTGGAACCTTTACAAATGTTGCTCGTATATCACTGGGGATAGGCTTGAAGGTTTCAACTGGAGCTGCCTCTCCTTCTGATCCTCCAATATCCTTCCTGATCCTCTCTGTTCCATGACAACCCATCAGCCATTCCTTCCCCACTGTGGCAGACTGAAATGCCCTGAATCTATGAGCCAAAATTGAGCCTTGCTTCAAGTCTCTTCTGTCAGGTATTTTTTTCACTACAATAAAAGTCACTAATGCAAATGACTTCAAATGGTGTACACCTCTGATCCTAGCACTTGGAAGCCAGAGGCAGAAGCAAGCTGAGTTTGAAGCTAGCCTGGCAAGTTCTAGGACAGCTTGGGCTACGCAGAGAAAGCCTGTCTTGGGAGGGAAAACTCTCAAAAAAGGAAGGAAGGAAAAGGAAAAAAGAGCTGGGCATGGTGGGCACAGCTATAATCCCAACACAACTGAGAATGATTCTAGTCTAATGCCTACCTGAGCCACAAAGTAACATGTGAGGAGCAGGCGGGCAGGCAATTTGCTACAGAGGAATCTCCTTTTTATTTCCAAAGGTAGAGCTACTTTGTTCTTCAATACATACTAACTGTGTAATAGCAAAATTAAAACCATCTACTTTCACATGGAACTTAAAAAATCTGAACAGAGGCCAGGTGGTGGTGGCCCACGCCTTTAATCCCAGCACTTGGGAGGCAGAGGCAGGCGGGTCTCTGTGAGTTCAAGGCCAGCCTGGTCTACAGAGCGAGTTCAAGGACAGGCTCCAAAGCCACAAAGAAACCCTGTCTCGAAAAACCAAAAATAATAATAATAATAATAATAATCTGAACTGAACACCAATAGTACCAATAGGAATTAAGTTATCAAAGGGAATTTTTCCTCCAATGCCTTTTTTCTTATGAAATCTTAAAATAACAAGGGACAGAAATATGATGAAACTAAGACATTTTCATCTGTCTAAACCATAATATTTAGCCAAAGGGATATCAAATTCATTTAAAATCAAATTGAAAAGTAAAGGCATTTCTGATTAAAGATCTACAGAAGGTCAGGTGTGGTTGTACATACCAATCATCTCAGGATTCAGAAAACAGAGGCATGCAGATCTCTGTGAGTCTGAGGTTAGCCTGATCTACATAGAGTTCCAGGACAGACTGAGCTACACAGAGACTGTCTCAAAAATGCAGCAACAAAAGTTCGATAAAGAACAGTTCTCATGCCAGGCATTGGTGGCACAAGCCTTTAATCCCAGCCCTCGGGAGACAGAAGCAGGCGGATCTCTGTGAGTTCGAAGCCAGCCTGGTCCACAGAGCCAGTTCCAGGACAGCCTCAAAAAAAATAGAGAAACCTTGTCTCAAAAAAACAAAAAAAAAGAAAAAATAGTTCTCCAAAATAAATAGTTCCTCAAGAGGTGAAAACCACCAGTTACAATTCTAATAGAAGAAAGCTAAAGGAAGTAGGGAACTGAGATGTGGGGAAACTCTCCTCTGTGGGCAAAAAAGTAGTGCAGGGCAAAAAGAACAGCCAGTATGTGTTGACCTCCTATGATAGCAACACACCTTTCCTGAGCTCCCATATCTCTGTTGCAAGTTCTATCACCAGCTGACTAAATTCTATATGTTCGTCATGATGTATGGATCAGTAATTTTCTGGTAAATGTTGGAATATGAAGTAAAATATATATTTACATATCATTAAATAAATAGCAGTGGCCTTTATTAGTAGTAATAGTAAAAACCAGTTTCAAAAGGGCAGAGCCAACCAATATTGATTGCTGAGGAGGTGGTAAGTGCTATCTTTGCACCAAGACAGATTTAAAAGAACAAGTAAAGAATTTGAGTAGCCCACCTGACACCCTTGATTTGATCCTGAGCTCACACAATATTGAGGTGAATGGTTTTTTGTTTTTTGTTTTTTGTTTTTTGGTTTTTTTTGGTTTTTGGAGACAGGGTTTCTCTGTGGCTTTGGAAGCTGTACTGGAACTAGCTCTTGTAGACCAGGCTGGTCTCAAACTCACTGAGATCTGCCTGCCTCTGCCTCCTGAGTGCTGGGATTAAAGGCGTGCGCCACCACCGCCCAGCCTGTGGTGATATTATTTATGATTTAATAAAGCTTGCCTGAGGGTTCAGAATGCAAAGCTAACCACAAGCCATACAGACCTGGCAGTGGTGGTACATACCTTTAATTCCAGGACTCAGAAGACAAAGGTAAATGGACTCTGTGTTCAAAGTCACCCAGGGCTACAAAAGAGTGAATCAGTCTAAAAGGAGAAATGGCTCACACAAAGGAGATCTCAGCACTTGGGATCACACACCTTTAATCCCAGCACTAGGGAGGTGGAGACCAGAGTAATATGGCGGGGCAGAGAAAAGAATATAAGTTGGGGGGAGACAAGAACTCTGAGCATTTGCCTCTGAGGATTCATGGAGAGTATTGTCTCTAAGGATTTGTGGAGACATGACTGCCATTTCAGCTTGGTAGGGGTAAGGGCTACTGGTCTGGCTGTTTTGCTTTTCTGATCTTCAGCTTGAACCCTAATATCTGTCTCTGGGTTTATATTAAATGTGTTATACAATATAATAAAAAAAAATGTATCATTGTAAGAGCAAAACCACTAGGGCTCAGAAAGATGCCTCAGCTGTTTAGAGCCTGAAAAGCTCTTTCAGAGGATCTGAAATAGGCTCCAGCGTACGGCAGCTCCAGGAGATCAGAAGTTTCTGGGCAAATTTTTTGGGGGCCACACACACACACACACACACACACACACACACACACACACACACACACACAAATTAAAAACAATCTTTTAAAATGAAAAAGTTGGGCAGAAAGGGCACATCCACACTGAAGAATCTTAAGTGACTCCATAGGGAACGAAATGTTCAGCATGGGCCTGGAACAAGGGTGAGACATTTAAAACATTAACATAAGATAAAAAGAAGAAACAAAAGAGAAGAAAAATGTCCAAGAAGAGTAGAATAAGCAACTTTTCAGAAGAAATAGAGTAACTGGCAAGGAATTTCCAGGAAGCTAGTTCAGAGGTGGATGGGAAAAGATACCATGTACAGAGAAGAAAGGCAGGAAGCAGCACAAGGCAAGCACAGGGAAGCCACTGAGGGAACTGCTAGAACCCAGAAAGTGCATGGCTACACACTTCCTTCTCATCTAAGAGCCCAACAAAAATGACAAGGAAAACTGATAATTAACCGTATCTTACTTTGGTCCAGCTGACATCACCGGACAACTCTCCTCTGTACAGAAGTCTGTGATGGTTCCATAAAGCATATTGATTTGATTGAAAAAATCCACAGCTGAAAAGCAAATGTCCATTGTAAGTAAAATAAGACAGTAAAAAAGTAACTTTACTCTATTTAAGAAGAACTCCGGGTTCTTTTTCCCTACAAAAGCAGGTGGAAACCTCACACCAAAGCCCCAACTGCTAACTATACTAAAATAGAGAGCAAGAAAACAAAGAGTGTGAAAAATTACTGGCAACCCACATAAAAAATAAATGTATATATATAAAATATACAGAGAACTATGTGTGAGAAAGAAAAGTCAACACACCGGGAAAGTAACAATTTAAAATGCCCCTTCACAAAAAAAAAAATCTAGATAATCATAAAATCCTATGAAAAATGTTGATAGAATGAAATCAAAAAGTTAAATGATAATGGGTTGCCATTCTAAAGCCATCCCCTGCAAAAAACTTACTTCAAAATGGAAAAAGCCAACACACTGTGAATTGTGTGTGCAGAGGCTAGAGGAAGACATTGATGGCTATTCCAGTACCACAGACACTCAGTTCTAGCAACTCAGAAAGAAAAAATACAGAAAGTAATTATTTGCTTCTATACTTAATATCTTGTGTTCTGCAATACAGAGTTTTACACAGCCATTCTTAATCTTTCTTAATTAGCATATGCAAACACCTGAGTTCAATCCCCAGGACCCACACATATTAACATATACATGCAAACACACAAATGTGAAAAATCCAAATAAATAAATAAGTAAATAAATAAATGGGGTCTCAAAAGTGCAAAAGCACAAACAAGTGTCAAGGGAGAGAGAAGAGAGGAGGGGACAGGAGGGGTAGCACACACCTTTAGTCCCAGCAACAGGGAGGGCGGTAGATCTGTCTAAATTGAAGACCTGCCTAATCTACACAGTGAGTCCTAGAACAGCCAGGGCTACACAGTGAGACCTTGTAATAATGTGTAATAATGTACAGTACATGTACATTAGAAATTTACTCTGAAGGGAAATTGTACATTATATTCTGGTTGTTCCTTGGGTTTTAAACTTGGAACCAAGAAGTTTTTGTTTTAAGAAGTACAGTGCCTTATTTATCCTTTGGTTTAAAATTTGACAAAAGCTAAGAAGAAACTGATTTATGTGACTAACGGCTTGTATTTTATACTTGACGCACAAGCACTTGCTCTGTCACTGAGGAGGCCATCGCCACGCATTCGTGAGTGAGCGAGGAGCCAGCAGCAGCTGCCTGTGCACCCCTGGACAGGTGCACCTTGCAGATCGCAGCATAACTCCCCTCTCTGTCTTATTTGGTTTTCATTTGAGTGATATTTGAAAGCTGAACCAAATCATTTCTATGGTTATGTGGAGAATGCAGGGGATTTATAATTATTATAAAAGATTGATGTTTCTGTTTCCTTCTGGAAAAAAAAAAGAAATTTATTCTGATTATCTTTGAGATGTCACAAAAATCATCTTATAGGTAAGATGGTGCTCACCAATAATGTGAAAAAACAAACCATTTTATTATTTCTAACAACAAAACTCTCAGTCCAGAAATCATATTATTTATAATTACATTATAATTAATCACATAATTAAAAAAATAATGTGACAGTAAAGTTCTTCTGACACGTCATAAAATTTCATACTCAGATAAAATTAACATGAAGACTTAACATTGGATTAAGACATCACTATTTTGTGACTATTAGGAGAATAGATAGTACCTCAACATTCACCTGAAATGAGGTCACTGACCCAATTCAGAATCTGCTGAGAAACAGAAAGACTACTTACTGTTAACTGCAACCCACTCATTTAGATCCTCTCCCTCAGGAAGCATGACGGCCATCCGAAGGTTGCCACTGCCAAGTGTGGCTTCTGCATGTTTTAAGAGTTCATACTGGTGAGAACCCTCTGGGATGTTCTTCTTTGGCTTAAAAGTTTTAGAAGATCGACTACCACTATGAATAGAAAAAAAGGGAGGGGTATACTTCATTATTTAAATAAATACTATCAATAGAATCTACAATTTTAGTCAGTAACAAAGCAAACCTTAACAGATACAAAAAAAAATTTTGGAATAATCCCCTGTATCATGTCGGATCACCATGGCTTAAAGTCAGAATTCAACAACAACACTAATTGCAGAAACCCTATAAACTCATGGAAATTAAAAATGCTCAACTGAATCATCTCTGGGTCAAGGAAGAAATAAAGAAATTAAAGATGTCCTAGAATTCAATGAAAATGAAAGAATCTCAACTTATTACTGGGTAAAATAATCTTAAATATCCAAAAAATTAGTAGGAATTACACTTTCAGCCACCAAACTTAAACTGTACTAGCTATATTAATCCTAGCAATAATGTAGTTACTGTAATGACTGTGATATCTACCCAAAATACATACAAACATTCTCTATAGCCTCTAGTTAAACTCAGGAGGAGAAAAAGAACTTTCAGCTGTAACTAATCCAGTTCCCCCAGTAAACTAACCACTCTGGATTACAGACTACAAAACCCTTCCATAATAAGTATTAGCAATTTTATTTCTTATTCAATCCTGTTTGTCATGTTAATACACAGAAGTGTTTTCTCCAACAGCAAGGGGGAAAGAAGCTAAATGTTCCTCTACCCAACTATAGGAAGCATTTGCAATCAATCTTAATGCAGAATTTTGGTTAAATGGGTAGTTAATATGACTGATGGTTCAAATTTCAGAATGTATACATGTAGTGCAGTATATGTAACATACAAATATATACAGTCAGCCCTCCATATGAGCCTGCATATTGACTCAATCAAACAAGAACTAAAAATACTTGGGGAAATTATATATACTGTTTCTGTGTCATTCTCTAAAGACAGTACAATGTACTTGGACTGTGTAAGTAAACTAAGATATGAGCTTAAAAGTACGTTAAGAGGAGCTGGGCGTTGGTGGTTGCTTTTATCCCAGCAATGGGGGCGGCGGAGGGTGGGGGCCTGCAGAGGCAGGTGAATCTTTTTTAGTTTAAGGCCAGCTGATCTACAAAGTAAGTTCCAAAACAGCCAGGGCCGCAGAGAAACCCTATTGGGGGGAGGGGGGGAGAGGCGGAGAGACGGACAGACACACAGTACATAAGAGGATGGATGTAACTATATATAAATCACACCATTCTATAAAAGACAATTAAGCACATACATAACAGTCTTAATAACCTTTGCAGGTTCCCGGACCCAGTTTCTTCACCACCCCCTCACCCCAATATAGAGGATATAGACTTGAACCACCATGCCTAGTAAAAAATAAAATGTTAAGCCAATTCAGCAAATGAAATGATTTTGCAGCTATGATTTGTAATTATTGTTATAATGTTTAATTCTTGATTCTTAAGAGTTCTAATTAAAACTTCTCTATAATTTTTGCATGTTACTATTGAGTTGAAGGTATTATAAAAAGTCTTATGTTCATTAATCCTATAGTTTGGAAATGGACAGTATCCCTGAAAGATTAGTATGTTAAAGGGCTGCTTCCCAGGACGATGGTATTGCATGGCAGTTTAACCCTTAAGAGACTCAGCCTCGTAAAAAGTCCTTGTCAATCTCTGGACATCAGGCTTTGCAAGCAGGTGCTTTGGTCAGCTGAGTCACTTTATTTGCCCAAACACCATCTATGCACCATCACAAAGAAAATGACACATGAATAACCTGGTCTATGTATGTATGCTTATCTGTGATAAATGTGACAAAAAATATTTGCAGTGTTATACTCAAAAATATAAACTATAGTTATCTGTGAAGTTCTAGTTGTAAATTATATTCTTTGATGAAGGGCCTCACAATGCACTACAGGCTGGTCTCAAACTGGCAGTCCTCCTGCTTCCCAGAGATTACAGACATGTACCAGCATGCCCACCAGGAATTATTTTCTTTCTTAATTGCATTTTGTAATATCTCCAGTAAACTTATTTTAATACTAATAGGAATAAGTTATAATATTATTAGGTTTAAAAGTTTCCCCTTTTGCCAGACATTAGTGGAGCACGCCTTTAATTCCAGCACTCGGGAGGCAGAGGCAGGTGGATCTCTGTGAGTTCGAGGCCAGCCTGGTCTCCAGAGTGAGTGCCAGGATAGGCTCCAAAGCTACACAGAGAAACCCTGTCTCGAAAAACAAAAAAAACAAAAACAAAAACAAACAAACAAAAAAGTTTCCCTTTGTCTTCCTCTGTTGTATTAGTGACAAAAAACCTTAGGAAAAAAAAAAAATCCTATCAGTATAAGCATGGTACTTGCTAACACAGACTGTTCTGAAAAACAGACCCAACTTGAAAAATACATGTATATATGGGCTGAGGATTTAGGTCACTGATGGAACACCTTCCTAGCCAGCACCAGCATCGAGGAGCATATGAAAAATATAAGCATGAGGTTGTATCAATTATAGACAAGACAACATAAGATCATATGCCTAGATCTAGACTTCCAGGACTCAAATTAGCTATACCATTTATTGGCTACATGACTTTCCTGTGCCAGTTTCCCTATCTAAGAAGTGGAGTTCCTGCTAGTTATTTAACTAAGGTCTTTAAAGCACTGAGTATCCAGGCTGGAGAACCGGCTCAGCAGCTAAGTGCACTTACAGCTCTCCCAGAGAACTCAGGATCAGGGCACAGTAACCACATGACACTCCAGTTTCCTCAGATCCAATGCCCTCTTCTGGCCTCCACAGGCACTGCATGCACATGGTTCACATACATAAATGCAAGCAAAACACTCATATCTTAAAATAAAATAAACCTTCCAAGTACTCAGTGCCTGGCTCACAGTAAACATTCACCAAGTTACAATTTGAGATTTATTAACTTCTGTTATAGATGAAAACTGTAAAGCACTAAAATCAATTAAATCATTTATTTAAAAACAAGAAATAAAGATGGAGGGACACAGAAAAAAAGTACAAGAGGAAAGGAGAAAGACACATGAACTCAGATAAAATGCTGGTCTTTTTTCCTACAATTTTTACTGCTGCAAAAGAAAAACGGGGGCTGGAGAGATGGCTCAGAGGTTAAGAGCACTGGCTGCTCTTCCAGAGGTCCTGAGTTCAATTCCCAGCAACCACATGGTGGCTCACAACCATCCATTATGAGATCTGGTGCCCTCTTCTGGTGTGCAGATATACATGGAAGCAGAATGTTGTATAAATATAATAAATACACAAAATCTTAAAAAAAGAAAAAGAAAAGAAAAATGGAAGGTGTCCAGCATAGTAACTAATATGTATTTTCTTTCTTTCATTTCCAAATCATTTTTGTTTCTCCTAATATAAATAGACCTGATTTATATTCATTCACATCCCTCAAGCACTTTTTGCTACAGTTAACTGCATGTTTTAACTCCATCAAAAAGCCTTACATTAGAAAATTATACTCTCAGCTGGGTGTTGGTGATGCATGCCTTTAATCCCAGCACTGGGGAGGCAGGGGCAGGTGGATCTCTGTGAGCTTGAGACCAGCCTGGTCTACAGAAAGACTTCCAGGACAGGCTCCAAAGCTACACAGAGAAACCCTGTCTTGTAAAAACCAGAAAGAATTTGAACCTACAAAACTAGCTTAGTTTCTGTCAAGTTTCTATATTCACCATCTAGGGGTTCAGTTTAATCTGCAGACATGCAGAGGCCAATGTGCAGTATAACCACAGCTTTAGGCCAGCCTCTTCACATAATGCAAGGAAAATTTTCCCTGAGCATTTGTACAAAAGTTATACCATCACTCTGGAAGACCACTTGTGCACCATCAGGATCACCCTGCCTTTCTGTGTTCCACAGTAATCTACTGACATGCAATGCTTGTGGTCACTGACTGAAACATACACTCCACTAAACAGGAAGTTTGTCTATCTTACATAAATGATACTGCTGGATCACAATGAAAAGTTGTGAGGCTTCTAATCAATAGAGATTTCCTTCTCAGACACGACTCATCACATTCTAACCTATCTCTCACTGTCCTATTTCCTCTGCTTTTTCTACTTATAGTAGCCTTCCCAACAAGGTTCCAAGAACCAGACGACATCCGTACATAACTTCATTTTTTTCTTTTTCTGCATCCTAAGAGCTGGGAATAAATGTGTGCACCACCATGCCTGGTTCCCTCCAGGTTGACTTTTCTGGATTGTTAAACCCATGGGCAAAACCTGTTGAGAGTACATTAACATCTATTTGTGACCTTGCTAGAAAACCATTCCCCAATTAATTAGTATACACTCTCTAGATGACCACATGAGTAAGAGCATTATCATCTTTTATAGCTAATATTCATGTGGGGGGGATGAACTAACCCACCATGTATATGCACCTCATACGAGCCACATAAAAACAGGACACTTATTTGTTTCACAAAACAGCACGAGAACCTTTTCCATCACCAAGTTCCAGCCAAATATGGCCCTCCTATACTTCAACCACTTTAGCTTATGAGTTCCAAAAGACACAAGCCTGTCAGCAGCAACCATCCCATTTAAATTCTTGAGAACAGAATATAAGCAATGCAAAACTACACTCAGCATGAGAATTGCTTGGGTGTTACTGATTAAAGGCAAAATATGAAACGACTTATTGTATAAGCCACCCAGTTTCTCTCATCTACTGACAAACTCAGAATCAGCCCTAGAATAAATTTACAAGTTCAAACGTGTCAGGCAGGTTGACACAAGCCAGACACTGTGCCCAGGAGGAAAATCTGCCCAGGGTGAGCCTTCCATGATAGTTCAGCTTTGCCTGAATACCCTAAAAAGAAATGATAACCAGTATTTGAGCATGCAAAAATAAAAGTGAATACCCAAGATTCAGATACCAATGTAATGACTAAAACCATGAGAGTGGGGAAAGAGAAATCTGAACGGAAAAGAATTGCTAAATGTTGTTTGCTCCACAACAATAAAGGGCAAGGGGAGTATGAGGTGGATTACACCCTTGAAGGGCTTGTTTTTATTGTTGTTATAAACAGAAAGCTTTCAAAAGGGCTATTCTTCGGGTGAAACCCCAGGGACCTGAAGTTTGTTGCTTCCAAACCCTAGTCTTGCTGTCCCATTTTTCTGCCCCAACCCCCACCTTCACCTCAAACTTGTTTCAAAGAAGTGATTTAGTAAAATAATGACCAGCACTAAATGTAACACTGAAGTTGGTGTTAAAAATGAATGGCAAACCTACAGCCCAGTGCACCTAAATTAACCCAGCTCACATTACCCAGATCCTACCTAGAGGATACCAAAAAAAAAAAAAAAAAGCATAACCCCTATACATCAAGAACTACAAGAAGAGGAGAAGAGGGCGGGGGTCCCCAGGCTGTCACCTCACCAGGGAATCCAGGCCCTCAAACAGCCCTGTTTTGAAGTTATCTCCATGGAACTTGTCTCTCAATTTCTCAACTGTAAGACCTAAGATGTTAAAGGTATGGGGATAGTCGGAGAAGAATAAGCCATCTTCTATGCTTGGGACTCGGAAAACAGCAAAGGGCAGCTGACACAGTTACCGGAGCCCTGGCAATCTCTGGAAGCCAGACGGGAGAGTGGGAGGTAAGTGTGCAAATACACACAGGCACACACGAGTGGGAGGTTAGTCTGGAAGCACATAAACACACGTATACACATCACTCTCTATACATGTATATACATATGCATATACATATATATATGGGGGGGCTGGGAGGCAGGGACCGGGAGGACCGGGAGGGAGGGTCTGACAGCACTGGATGACTGAGAGGCAGGGCCCGGCAGTACACGGAGGAGACGACGAGGCAGGGCCGGGCACCAAAGGGAGGACAGAGCCTCGGGAGCCCGCGGCCCAGGGGGCGGCGGAACAAAGCCGGCGCGGCCAGTCTACTTACAACAAGAAGCTCATGTCGGCCGCGGCGTGGGCTGCGGGCTCGGCAGAGCAAAGCCTGGGGCGGCGCGGCCGGCTTGACTCAGAGGGATGGCGAAGAAGGGAGGAGGACGTGCCGCTGCGGGACGGCCGCCGACTTCTCAGGCTCCGGTACTTCCAGCGGCCGGTGGAGGGGCGGAAGTGGAAGACCTGGGCTCGGCTGGCTCCGCCGAGTGCAAGCGGAGCAGCCAAGGAAGCACCGCCCGCCCGTCCTCCTCGCCAGCTCCGCGCCCCCTCAGAGAGATCTCGCGAGAGCCCAGGCGCCCGCCCACCCCGGGATCACCTTCAGGTCACCTCGGCCGCCCACGCTGACCAGCGGGGCAGGAGAGCTTGCCGGAGCACGTGGTCCCGGGTCGCAGCCCGAGGGCGTCCAGAGCTGTCCCGAGCTGCTCAGCAGCACTGGGAGCACAGGAGGGAGGTGGACTGCCTGTCCGGCCCTGGGTTTTGTAGAGAGGGAGGGAGTCGCCATCAAAGAGTGCCCAGTAAGGACAGTGGAAGGCCTCGGGCTCGCTTTCTGTGCTGGGTTTAGGCAAGCACTCCACCAACTTGAGCTACAGCCCCAATCCTTCTATGCTCGCCTTTAAAAAATCTGTTTGGAATGACTCGGAGATGAGATTTTAGGGAAAGTGATTAAGTGAGTTTTCGAAGTTTTTCCTCTAATGGGCACATGCTAAAACACTGGACTCGGAGGAGGTAAGATCAGTTATTGAACAAGCAAACTAGGCTGTCTGCAGTCGATTAGGGAAACTGAGGGAGCCAAGGAGAGCTGAGGTCAGTACATCATAAATCCCAGAATGGCAGGAAGCTGGTTTTCCGTGGCCAGTTGTGGGATGCACAAAACACTTGATAAAGTAAGAGTTATTCAGCCTTGCACTTGGAGAAACTTTAATTCTCACATGCTTAAGGTGTTAGACCCCCGAAAACTCAAGTATTCGGGGTCCCAGGCCACGTTCGCGGTCACCCCAATCACCAGGCGGATTCGAGAGCTTGCTGCAAACTGCACAAGGTTTTATTGTAATTTAACGAGCTAACCCCATGTTAGCTCGGGTCTTTCACCCACCCACCATGGCAGACAGCTAGAAAAGACGGCTTGAAGCCGCTGCACATAGATCTTTATAGGGCAGCGTAAGGGGAGTGTCTAGGGGTACGCACAGGCTCACGATTGGTGTGCCTCCAGGCTTGGAGGGCTTGTCCTGTGTTGATTGGTCAACTGGTTGTTATGGCTCATAGGCCCTCCCAGGGTGGTTGCTATGCTCTCTACATCATTGCTGTGTGCTTGTCTGTAAAGCACACCCAGGGTCGTAAAGCATAGTGCCACCAGCTAACTTCTGATTGGTTCCTTGTCACGAGACAGGCATCTGACTTTCTAGTGACTAGGTCAAGGTCATAGAAGCACATGTTCGACCATTATGGCTGCCAAAAGGGAAGCCGGTTCCTTCAGGCCTAGATGTCTCAGCCAATAAACTCACTTGTCCCCAAACCTGATAACCTGGAACCCGTAAAGAGAACCAGTTCCCACAAGTTGTCCTCTCCCTCACATGAGCACAAATAAGCAATAAGTAAGTATGCAAATAAATAAGAAAAAATTAAAGGATGGTCCGTGTTGTGCATGGTTGTGCTTGCCCCTACACCTCAGGTTCAGGCAAAAGGATCACATGGTTGAAAGCTGAAGTAAGCCAGGACAGCACAGGAAACTAAGGGGTTGGGGGTGGGGGGAAAGCGCTTGACTTTTTACAACACTGACAGCGTCCATTATGGACTTAGGTGGGAAAATAAGGATCGCTTTTTTTTTTTTTTTAAGTTCTTTACTCACATCGGCAGCTCTACAAGTTTTCAAGGAATCTAAATGAAACACTGTGTAGATATTAACCCAACTTGATCTTACCACTCCAAAAGGCAAAAAACACTTGAAGGTGATACGAATATTAAATTTATCCTATTTGATTTATGTACCAATAATTTGCTGTGTCGGTTGAGGGGTTTAAAGAAAAAAAACTAAATGCAAGAAAACTGAACCTTGTGTTTTCTCAGGAATAGCAAACAATAATTTGAAAAGACAGCCTCAAGATAAGAGGCTAAGATGTGGTGGCACATGCCTGCCTTTAATCCCAGAACAGGGAGGCAGAAGCAGGAAGATCTGTGTGAGTTCAAAGCTAGCCTGTAGCCTGGTCTATATATTAAATTCCAGATCAACCAGAGACAAAGTCTTAAAAAAAAAAAAAAAAAAAGATTTACTATATGAAAATAGATTGGTGATATAAAATGAGATTTGTCTCACCAGGTTAGGAAACATTTGAGAAAGAATAGTTGAGACAACACATCAGAGCCTCAGTCTCATCCATCTTTAACTGTGGTCCTGGCAACCAGACATGGCTGTGATGGCTGCGCTTAGGAAAGAAGGCTGCAGAGGCAGGAAGGCAGGAAATAATGCATGTGAGGCCAGCCTGGGACTGTATAGCCAGACACAGAGTCCAATAAAGTTTTGGATTGTTGCATGATCTTTTGTTTGTTTTGTTTTTGTTTGAGACAGGGTTTCTCTGTGTAGCCCTGGCTGTCCTGAAACTTACTATGTAGACCAGGCTGGCCTTGAACTCAGAGAACTCTGCCTCCCATGCTGGGATTAAAAGTGTGTGCAGCCATGGCCTGGCTATTACATAATCTTTGAGATACTTTCCAGTTATGAAGTTCTATCCTGCCAGAGGCATCCTTCTAAAGACTGGCACATAGCTCCTCCCTGCTCTCCGACTTGGCTTAAGTGGTCCTGCCTTTGGTTTGATATCACTTCTATGCACCCTATCACACTGAATCAGGAAAAGGACCTGACAGAGGAAAGACTGCACACAAAATTGCTGAGGCCTGCTCTACTCCATTGTTAGAAATGCTTCCTTGAGTTGACATCTGAAAAAAACAGACATGTTGGTCCTGAAAATGGGAGAAAATATTGTGGTGATATAATGTTTATGATCTAGTAAAGTTTGCCTGGAGATCAGAATGCAAAGCTAGCCACACTAGTTAGCCATAGAAAGTGGGTGGTGGTGACCCAGGCCTTTAATCCCAGCACAAGAGAGAAATATAAGACAGGAGAGAGTCTCAGAGCTAGCATTCAGTCTTGGGCAATTAGTCTTTAATCATGTTGAGGATAGGATCTCCCCAGCCTTGGTAGAGGTGAGAGCTCTCTGGTAACTTGGCTGCTTTGCTTCTCTGATCTTCAGCTTAAACCCTAATATCTATCTCTGGGTTTTTATTGTTCGTACTACAAAATACCATTTTAACAGAATATAATTCTGCAAAGTTAAGGTTCTAAAACAAGCAAATGATTTACATAAAAGTGCTCAGTAACTGAGATTTTATTTTATTTAAGATGGTATTGTTCATAGAAATAAGGAAATAAAGATGAAGTAAAACTAATGGCACTTGGGGTTGGTGGTAAGGGTTAGTGGAAGAAAGAAGTCAAAGATGGCAGTGGGTTTTCAGGAGTGGTAGTGCCATTTGTGAAAGGGAAGGTGTGAGTCGCAAATTGGAAGCACAACCAAAGGCTCCATATTGGACATGTCCACTTTGAGATGTCTGTTAGGCCCCGGCGTCAAGTTCCAACCTCCCCATGATGCCTGGGAGAAATCTAAACCCAAAAGTGAATGTAGGAATCTTCAGCAAGTGAATGGTTTCAGAAGCTTCAGAAGGAGCTTTAAATAGGAAGTTTTATGCCAGGTAAAAATAGACCAAGCAAAGTGTTACCTTTAAACATCTGTGTTTCTTCTTTCTTTAATTCTCTTCCCAAAATAGAAACAAGATCTCATCAAGCCCCTAGATCTAATCTACCAACTCAGAAAACACAGGTGAGAAAAGGATGTGGCAAAAAAAACACTAAAATTTTACCACATACAATCAGCAAAGTTCAAACTGTAGGGAAAGCATGCCAGACCCAGTTCCTTCAACAAGAGAAAAGGAAGGCACTGAACTATGAGAAACTGGTAGTCAGCTTTCTATTACTGTGACAAATTAATTGATAATCAGCCTGGGGAGGATGAGGGCTGCTCTCACCCTGGGCCAGAGAAGCTTCATTCTGCAGTGGGAAGCAGTTGGTGACTCATAACTTGTTAAAGAGCTGGGGAAAAACTGAGTTGTAAATGTTCAGCCCCAAGTGGGACATCAATATCAACTTAACACACACACACACACACACACACACACACAGAGAGAGAGAGAGAGAGAGAGAGAGAGAGAGCGAGAGAGAGAGCGC